GGGAGCAGAAAAGTTTACATGGGGAACAGGTCCAGTGTGGAGGCTGTCCCATGGCATTGGCACATTCAAGCTGGAAATGCGACGAGGGCGCACCTTGTATCTTCATTGATGTCTTTATGCTCCGGATATTCGGCGAAACTTAGTTTCAGTTATTAGGCATGATGAGCCTTGTTTTAGCTTTTGTTTTGAGAATAATTGGTTGTTAGCATTTATTTGGGAACAATTTTTATGGTTTGTGGTTATCTTTCAAATGGTTTTTTAGTTTGGATGTGTGATGATTTCTGAGTATTAATAAAAATGCCAATGGGATCTTATTTCTAATATTGCATCTTTTTGTGATAATGATTCTATGAGATGGCATGCTAGATTAGGCCACATAGGGCAAGACAGGATGACTAGATTGGCTAGAGAAGGTCTTTTAGGCCCACTCGCTAGAGTCACTTTTGCCTACTTGTGAGCACTGTCTTGCTGGAAAGGCAACAAGAAAACCATTTGGAAAAGCCATAAGGGCATCTTATCCCATTGCAACTTATTCATTCTGATATATGTGGACCAATGAATGTGAGGGGCAAGGCATGGAGCCCCCGTATTTTCATCACATTTTTAGATGATTGCACACGTTTTGGTCATGTCTATTCTTGTGATTTCTTTCAACAAGTCAGAAGCATTGGATGCTTAGACGGGTATTGTAATTGAGGTTGAGAAATCAATTAGACAAGAGCATTAAAAGCTCTAAGGACTACCGAGGGACGTGAGTATCTATCTGAGCAATTTAAATGCTTTGAGGGAAAAAGGAGTTATCAGCAATTGACAATTCCTAGGACTCCGCCAACAAAATGATGTGTAGCGGAGAGAAGGAATCGCACATGCTTGACAGTGGTTAGATCAATGATGGGCGCAAGCTAATCTTCCAAATTTCTTATTGGGAGATGCTTTGTTGACTGCTTGCCTACGTCCTTAACCGTGTGCCCGTCCAAATCAGGTTCCTTCCACCCCATATGAGATTGGACGGCAAAAAGCCTGATTTGGGCAATTTGCGACCTTGGTTGGCAGCTTACATACACAACGCTTCTCATAAGTGTTGGGAAGTTGGGGCCCAGAGGAAAGAAGTGTATCTTCAATATCGCTATAGTGAGCATTCTAAGGGCTATGTGTTTGTTGCGGAGCATTCCGGATGAAGTTTGACTGAAATTGAGTCACGGAGATGTGGATTGTCCTAGGAGGAGTTTCCCCTAGCAGAGGTGAGGTAACCAGAGAAGTTAGAATCTACGAGATGGTGGATCTACTTGAAGGCGCACCTAGTAGCTTAGTAGAGAATGAGGAAATAATTCCTCAAGCTCCTAGGGACAGTGGGAGCGATCTCCTACCCATTGGATTTCAGATCCAATGGATGAGGATTCTCAGGATTCTCAACAAAATACGTAGAAGCCAAACGTGGAGCTATACCCCGTCGTCGTTTTGATGATTGAAGGGGAAGCATTCTTGATTGCTCCGAGTTGATTGAGATGGAGCCTAAGAATCTCAAGAGGCTCTCTCAATCCCGCTAGTAAAGAATGGAGTACTGCCAATGGAAGAAAGAAATAGAGTCTATGAAGAAAAAATCATGGTCTGGGGGACGTTGGTGATTTTTTGCGCTTAGGGCGGCAAGGGGGGGACTATCCGGGAACCAAAATGGGTTCTCCAAATCCAAGCGCAAGGCGGATGTCCATAGAAAGTATAAGGCTCGCTAGTGGCGAAGAGTTACACCCAAACGGAGGGGTGGGACTATGAGGAAAACTTTCACCAGTTTGTAAGTTGCCTCTATCGCCTAATCCTGCCCATAGTAGCTCAGTTGGACTTAGATCTCTCTT